AACTGTCAATCGGTAAAGAAGGCCAACTGGAAGCACTGGATGCGCTGCCTATCAAGAACTGAAGGCTGTGCATGTCCATCGTGCTGCCGAGAATTCGGCGGCGGTCCGCCTCTTAGATTGAGGGGCACACTTTGGTAGTTCCGTCCATGAACCCCATAGCGCGCTCTCTTTTCAGGGCCGTAGGTTCGTCCCAGAACCCGGTTGCATGCTGGATCATGCTCTGCTGTCCCGGCTGGTAGGCTTAAAAGCCTCGAACCGTCACGAACGTGGACAGAGCGCAAAGCGGCTCGCCACGCACATTGACTGAGTGCCGGCCAGGTGCGTGGGCATGTGAGGCGTTGTGAGCACGGTGCCCTGGTTCCAGAATCTTTTTGGACGGTCTGGTCGGGGTTTTTGTGCTTGAACTTCTTCTCGACCATCTCAAGCATCAAGGTGCTTGGAGCGAGATTGGTCCACCAGCGGCGCTGGCGGTGGGCGTAGGAGCCGACGGCGATTGCGTCAAACGCAAAGCCGTGTCCAAGCAATCCCTTCACAACGTTGTTGGATTCCCCGCGAACCTCAGGCTGAGGGTGATCGCTGGGGTCAACGTTCTCGAAAAGATAGCCGACCTGACCTGGCCAAATGCCGTTGATCAGATGCACAATTCGGACTGCCTCCGGGAGGAGTCATGTGCGCGAGTCGCGCAAGCCTAGGGCGAAGTCCGTGGCGCGCGAGAAACCTTGGCAGGGGAATCCGGCTACCACCAGGTCAGGACGCTCGAGCGCGGCTACCTGACCACGGGTGATTTTGCGAACATCGTTGCCTAGTGGTTCATGGCATTCCTTGATGGCCTCCACGCTCAGAAGCTGAGGGAACAGCGCATGAAGGACGGCCAGACGTCGAGTCGCAATCTTGCGAGTCTTGTCATCTAACTCACAGGCGTAAACCTTTCGGATAGTGACGCCTTGTCGAAGCAGAGCTTCGGTTGTGGCCATGAGGCCAGAAAAGAGCTCAACGACCACCATGCCAGGATCTGGGGTGGCTAGAGCCTCTTTCTTGTCAACCAAGACTGTGGCCAACGGTCGCAAGTGCCGGTACTCAGGGTCCCGGATCACAGGCGGCGGCCGGTCTGGCGTGGCCAGTGACCGAATGCTGCGGTCGAAGATTTCGGTCATCTCCGGCAGCGCACGTCGCTGGAACTAACCCAGCTTACATTTGGCGTCGGCGATGGCCTGAGCGTTGCTTGGGCTCTTTATCATGGGTGGGACGGCGCCTGTATAAGCGTTCAAAGCCTGGTACCCGCGTAGCGGCGGCTTGAAGTAGTCGATGGGATATGGCAGCGCAGAAAGCACTTGCGAGCCGCCTGTCCCCTCTCCACATAATACTTTGCCCGTTTCCTCCGCATATCCGGAGTCAACTCGGCGGGTCCCATGACGCTCATGCCGATAACAGTATCGGGCACGTTCTGATTCACAATGACCACATGGGCCATGATGATGAGCTCGTCAGGAGTATCCGGGTTAAGCACAAAGCTAACCGGTTCCTTGGTTTGGTCTAACCGTTCGGTCAGAGCCCCGGTGCAAGTGCGAAAGACAATGGCATTGCGATCGATCATGTCAGGGGTGATCCCCATGGCAGCAGCGCTTGAGCGGCCAGTGATGGCGGCTTCGGCTCCGCCGTCTAGTAGCAGGTTGTGTACGACGCGGCCGTTGATCAACATGGCGGGTTTCGAACCCCTGTTGTCAATGCGCGGCGAGCGGTGGAAACCGGCGCGTCGGTCACTGTGGTAAGTACCGGGCAGGTGGCTCAGAAGCGCACCTAAGTTGGGGATCTCTGGATCATAAAGATCCTCAGAGGCTTTGAGTCCTCGAAGTGGTTTCCCCCTTTTGAACGGCACGTTGTGCTCAGCGTTGTGGTTGTCCGCAATCTGAGGCACACTGGGCGCGTATATCATGCCCTGACGCTGAGGTGCGTCGGCTGGCAACTCTTCGAACCCTGCCGGCACCATCAAGTGAAGTGTCGGTGGGTTGCAGAGAGGTTGGTGCGTCCGCTTGGGCTGGTACAGCCTCAATTTGGACGGCCTCTGGCCCTACGGCAAGTGCCGGTGCGGGCGCACTGTGAATAGGCTCCAAGGGAGCGGCCGTAGTGCGCGCGGCCTCAAGGACCGGCTCCACGTTCGTTGGCATAGTCAGCATTGCTGGCGGCGGGCGAACCGGCGCGTCCAGAAAGTCTTTAGGAAGGAAGCTGAGCGGCATAAGGGACAACGGTCCGCGCAGCCTCTCATCCTTTGTCACGGTCCGTCTAGTGAGACCAGTGTGAACGGGCGCCACGTTGCCGGCTGGCACGTACGCACACCGTTTGGCTACCAGCGTGGAGTCAATCCGAGCACTGTACCCGTTCGGGTTGTTGTGATGAGCGTCCCAGAGCGCCTGAAGCTGTGCAAGCGAAGGCTGAGACTCATCTGAGTTGTGATAGGCCGCGGCGGCTCGCGCGGCGGCTCGTGCAGAGGCACTCTGAGCGCGCGGCGTCTTGCCGGCCTGGAGCGCCTTGCATTCGGCAGTGTCGTGGGAGTCCGTCTTATGGAACGTACACCATTTCTTGGAGGTGCCTGACTTGGCCAGCTCAGCGCGCTTGCGAGCGCACTTGTTGGCATAGTGATCTGGCTCTCCGCAATGATAGCATATGGGCTCCGAGTGAGCCGAGGGTTTAGGCTGGAATCTGGCAGAGCCCCCCTTAACCACAGCAGGTGACCGGCAGTCCCTTGCAATGTGCCCGTACTTGAGGCACTTGTGACACTGAAGTGTCTGTTGCTTCCGGCTCGGTCCATGACTCGAGGGCGCGGCAAGCACAGTGGGTGCGCGAACCATGGAGCGCGGCGGGGCCGCGGCGTGCATGGTCGCCGACCATAAGTTGGCTTGGGTCGTAGCTTGATCAATCTTGATAGCTACCTGTCCCACGAGCTCAACCGTCCAGTTCGAAGTCTCCAAGCTAGTTGTCAGTAACTGGCGATGGACTTCCTTTCCCAGCTCAGTCGGCCTGATCGTGGCTATGAGCTTGAACACGGCCATCTTTTCGGGCCGGTCGAGGGCGTGCATGAGCGTTTGCATACGCTGCACCAGACTAGCAACCGTCTCGGTAGGTCGCATAGCAAAATCCCGGAATTATTCCATCCGAGTGGTCGACTTCTCTGGATATAGTTTCTCCATCATAGTCCAAAACTGCTCAACGGGTTTGTCATAAACCTCCTCATCCACATGCACTGCGGGTGCCTGCGGCTCAGTCGCGGCGGCTTTTTCGTCAGCCGGCAAGGCGTCATAGTCGGCCTTGGCTTTATCATGTGCGGCGCGGTCGCGGATGTACTGCTCCGACTTGGCAGCATTCCGAGCGCGAAGTTCGTTTCTCATGCGGCGCTCGAGGTCGGCAGCCTAATCGCGTGCCCCCCCGGCCAAATACTTCATGAGGAAGTTGAACATGTCATTCTCATTCAAAACCACGGTTGGTTTCAACTTAAGCTCCGACTTAAGTGTGTTGTAATTCTGGCGCAAGTGCAATATGCTTCGCCGCGTTCGGGTCACCCGTAAAGAGTCCCGTTCCATGCTACATAGTTAGGATCGACATGCTGTCGGAATCGTCTAACTCAAAACACACAACGGCGGAAGGTGTTCGAATTGCAGCATACTCAGTTTGCGTCTCTTGATGTGCATGCACAGTCGATTGTGATGACAAATGAGGCGAAGCGTTACTTGATTCGGCAAGACTTCGACTCTCTTCAATTGCTTGAATAAGGTCAATGTCTTCGTCTCAACTTCGCTCACAATTTCTCTATGTGGAAAGCTGAATCCAGAGCGAAGTCTACTCTGCCACAAAAGAGCAGTACAACTCCTCTCTCTAAGAACTACCACTTCAATGGTATCCTTATACTCGTCTATCTCCTTGGGTTCCTTGGATTGAAGTCACGGCTGCGACCGTTCTTCCCCCCCGCACGTCCAAAGCCACGGCCCCCGCGGTTCTGGGCGTGAAAACTTGCGCAAGGGATGAGGCGCGTCAGTCCTGATGCTTAGGACACGTGTCAAGTCGTTGGCACGGTTTAGAATCGTACAGGGTTCTCCTCGGGGGCACCCTGCAGAAATACAAGTGTGGAGACACTTGCAAGACCAGTCGCTGTGAGAGCACTAGCCAATCTTAACCAAATCCGTCTACAAAGTTCCTGGAACTTTGCAAGTACAAAGGCCCCCTTAAGGCAGCCTTGCAGTGTCAAAAAGAAAGTAGCACAACCCCTCTGACGGGCCAGGCTGTCACAACTCGTAGCACAGCGCCTCTACTAAGGGCCTGACTTTCCCACTTGTCACCAAAACTACAAGTGTCTGACACACTTCAACAATTACCACTGTACGAGTGAGTAATGCTGTCTAGACGGCGGCCGTCGCTGAAAGGACTCAACGACCCGTCCTAACAAACAATGATGGTCTAGAACAAACTTCCTGAGGAGGCTCCACACTCGGTGAGGCCTCCCAAGGCAAGAATAGTCACCCAGACCCCTGCAAACGAGCGGGCTATCGCGCTATATAGAAAGACAAGAAGCATGCCCCGCGAAAGGCCTACAGCGAACCAAGCACCCTTAGCACCGAGAGCGGCGCATGGTACCTAGTCTGCGAATTTGCAATGGGCCCGTTGCCAACACACAAAAACTCAGGCGCAAGCAAGCAAGTCACTCGTCAGCAAGCATGCCTCCCGGCAGTTGCATGTCTAGGCGATGTCCTACTCGAAGCTCAAGAGCACTGACGTCACTGTAACACGATCGCAAGCGAGCAGGAATGAAGCAGAAAGAGAGATATGGTGCAAGAGAGAGACAAAGCAAGCAGGACTGAGTCAACACCGAGAGTGGTGCTGACCTGGAAACGGCGCGGGGGCTGTAGGAGTCGATGGCGCGCCCAGGGAGTAGCCCAGAGCCAGCAGATGCTGGAGACTGGCGATGATAGCTCCCGGGTC